CACACAAGTCAACAAAGAATTCATACCAGATTAGTTCAGAAAAACAACTGGTAAACTGTATTCTGTTGTCTTCATCCCAACCATAACTAGAATTGAATGGCTACAATCTGAAACTGTTCCTAGAACTAAAGAAACCACACTCAGCCCAGATGCCAGGATCGGAAAACCCTGACTTTCTGCCAGCTTAGAATCCCAAAATTAAAACAATTCCCACGATAGAAAATGACAGTAATTTATCGTTTCCGAAACTTCCTCTTTGGCTGCGGAAACTCGAGAGGGACAGAAAGGGTTACCAAATACTTGTTCTTCTCACGTTCCATCTTGCAACCCAGATTGCGATAATGAGATTTCACAGTAGCAGGATTCATTCTTAGATCATTGCTTACATCTGCCGGAAAAGTCCGGAAATCATCAGCATATAAAGTGAGAACCAAAACATAACTAATGAGAAGATCAATCTTCTCAACTGACAGCCTTCTTGTTTCAGGATTAAACATCTCTAAAAATTTCTGCCGTATGATGCTTGGAAACTGATGGTTCCTAGCAGAGGCTGCACCATCCAAAGAATGCTGATCTTTAAACTTTATCAGATGAGTGATGTATGAGAAAATACATGAAAGTCTCTTCTTCTCCATCTCATCCTAGAACAGGCACAACATAAGTATCAGTGCCATTGCTGTTCCCAGCCAAGAAATATAAACACAAAACAATACCTCATGACTGATAGCATGAATACTATTTATCTATGAAAATTTAGAAATTTTCAACTAAATTTCACCAACTTTGTGTGTAAGCAAGACATCTTGAACAATAAAATGCTGGAAAGGCATGGTTCTTAAGACCAAAAGCCAATTGAGGATGTAAAACCAAGAATGTGAAATTATCCAGCTATTTAACTACAATGACAAATCATCAGCTCTCAAGCACGCTACTTCCAAAATCAAGTGTAAAGTTTTCCAGCTAATTAGCTATAATGCAATCATCAGCGATCTACCATGCTTCTCCCAAAAGGAATATTCCACTACTAAACACATACAAAATAAAATTTGTGAAATTTGCTAAAATTTCATCTTTTCTTGTTTAACATTCATCTAGGAAATGGTATGTTTAAAATGCATCAGGAAGAATGTAACCCCACAATTTTTTCTTAGTGAAATTATGATTGCCTCAGACACCATTTCATTACAGGGACATTTTAAAAACCAAAAGTTACAATAAATTAGTCAAAAGTGAATTCCCATTAACATGTTAGCAAAAATATTCCATGCACCCTTCAAATACTTTACCTGAATCTCCCGCAATTTCTGGATCCTGTTGCAAACAAAAGTTGGGTAAGCATTGCTTGCTACTTCTCCTCCTGCTTGCAAAATCTTATAAAGATCTTCAAGGAAATCCCACTCTCCAGTGAGAATAATCCCGTCCAAAGGATAAGCCTCCTGGGGGGTAATGGCAGAAGAATTATAAGGTGGAATATTTCGAGCACTGTGGCCACTGGTACTTTCAAGAGCATCCTTGTTTATTGGGGCATTTTCAATTTTCCTGCCCAGATCCTTCTGAGAAAGAGGATCATCTCCCTTCCTCAGAGCCTGCATTTTTTTATCCTGCAGCGCAACAAAGAATTCAGTGCTATCCGCCAATGCTTCCAACAGAACCACACACTTTCCAACTAACAAGATGTTCATTCAATTTGAACCAAAGCATGGGTGAAGAAAATCATTTGTTCTACCAAGGAATCTCATTTTGCAGAAACACTCAAGAAATGAATTTAAGGATCTAATTTGGATGTTGTAGCTCCAACTATTCCTTCTCATGAAAAGAATTGAATCCAAGAAAACTAAGGATCTAACATGAACCTTTTCACGATAACATAACACTCAAATTGCTAAAAGATGACAAACATTTAGCATGCATTTAGATAAATAATCACAAATCCCATCTATCTTTTTCAAAAGAAAGAAAATGCTTCAAATATTCCAGATGTACAAGTTATATACAGATTAAAATCAATTGTTTTATGCTGATATGTAACTTAAATTTGTAGAAGTTGTAAATCTTTTAAGCCCTTTTAGGAAAAATCTAAATGAGCATTTTGGTCGAGGATTTTTTTCACAACCACCGTTTCTTTGCTAGAGCAAAAAAATTGCCGATACAGCATGAGATGCAAGACTCCCACCTTGCCAGTCAAATAGCAAAAAAAGCAAGATTTATTGTCTCCTTAGTTACAGATGGTCCAAGACAAATTCTATTTTGTTACGCAATCATGATCAATAATACATGCATTCTAATAACAATGAAGAACTAAACACATTCATCACTCACAAGTTGATAAAACAACTGCAAAGACCTTTGAGATACCCAAGGGAACCTCCAATTGAATAGAAATAAGAGGCATTCTTCAACAACTTAGAAAAAGAGTATACCTGGATTATAGATTTCTTTGGTCCATATTGAACATTAAGCTGTCTTATCCTGGCAGCTCTCTGTTCTGCAGTAATCTCACCATTTTCAAAATTTGCATGTTCCTTATCAGCAGCAAGCGACCCTCGAAGTTTTGGTTCCAATCTAAGTATCTACCATCATTTTTAAAGACATGTTAGGAGTTTACTATGATGAAAAATTATAGGTGAGCAAGAAAAAATATTTGAGGTTGTTGACTGCTACAGGAAGGTACATATCTAATCTGAAATGAACTTGATTTCTCAATAATTCACATTTTACAAAAAATATATACCAGTGGCTTGAATTTTACAATAGGCTTCACAATTTTACAAGCTTCATTTTCTTACATTTAACAAGCTGAACTTTGCAGTTCCTGAACTACAAGTTTGAAGAGTGTAGTTGCTATACACAGTCAAGTAAAAAACTCGGAAACAATGTTGCATCCATTCTAATTGACCCAGTGTCTCTTTCAAGCCATGACCATGGACTAAAGTCAATTTGAAAGCTCAAAGTCCATTGTTAGCAAGAAGCCTGTAGCAACATCAAATAATCTACATGAAGAAACTACTGGTCTGGACTTATTGGTATAGTGCCATGGTTCCCTTATGGTACTTAATCTATACAGAAAAAGAACTAATAGACTCCCCCAGAAAGATTTTAATAAAGAAATTATACTTAGGTATTTTATGTTTCAGACCTGGACCAGAAATTCAAAAACCTTCAGTGTGTCATTTTGTTTTGTTTGCATAGTTCTCTAGCTATAAGCAATGAGAAATATGATGAATCATCCGCAACAAATATTCTCCCACGGGGATCTTAAACTTCAGAAAATAGCTGTATATCCTCCTAAATCGCTTAATTTCCAGATTAAACCATGTTTGTAAGCTCTTCAATATAAACACAACACAGCTCAAGATACAATCTTCAATTTAACATTTCTCTTTAACCTTTGCTTTATAACAATCATAGAATTTCCCACAATACTAACAAAAGAAAACATAGAATTTACAAAAAATTCCAACAGATAAGCATAAATAAAACAAAACAGTGTCATAATATCCAAAATTTTACTCGGTTAAATAGATTTAAAACACCTCATTACGTCCAGTCAAACAAGAAAGGGAGGGAAAGTAATATAGTTACAAAAAAAATAGTCAAACACTCAAAATATCTATTACTTTCTTCTCTTTATCTCCTGATTCTGAAAACAACCATACAGACAGCAAAACAATCAAATTATTATCTGAAATAATACCTTATTTCCAGCAATAGGCATAATCTTCAAAGTCTGAGTCGTCTTATCAAGAACCCCAAGCGCATAAGTGCACAACTGGGCTGCCATAGCCTCACCTTTATAGCTATTGCCCACGAACTCAATATTCGATCCATTCGGGCTCACTACCAACTCTAGCCTCTCAGAAGTTCTCCCTTTCTCATTCTTTTCACCGGAGCTTTTCTCAACCTTGGCCCTCTGCGCATTCCGATAAAGCTTGACACTTGGTGGTGCAGCTAGTGGGAGGTTTGGTTCTTGTGCATCGTTGATGTCATTTGTTTTGTGGGGGTTATATCCAGACGGGAAATAGCCCACTACAGGTGGGGTTTTGTCAACATGGTTGTTGACAAGTTCAAGTTTGACATCAAGACGGGGCTGCTCATTGATGGTTGGTTCATTTTGGAGTTGGGCTGCGGCGGCACCGTCATCCCTTTCCTTCTCTCTCTTCCTCTTCTTTTTTGATTTCTTGGTAGCTGTTTGTGGTGACTCCGAGACTAGTAAATGCGATGAATCCAACTCCAACCCCATGAGGAACCCCAACTAACAAAGCAAGAAAAAGGCTTTCACTGTTTCTGCATTCAAAACAATAGAACTAATAAAAACCCTAGGTCCTAAGCATGTTCTTTACCTGATTTTTTTTGGTTTTCTCAAATAATAAAAGGAGCTATAGCTTCACTCTTCTTCTAGCTCTCTTGGCCTGTTACTTGTCTTGTCTTCCTTCACTGGAACAAGAACACTGTAGAGACAGAGATATAGTTTGCGGTGGAATGTATAAACCCTAAAAACTTGAAGGTGATGATGCTTTGTAGATTAAACAAAGTTCTTTCTTTTTTGTCAAACCTGTCCCCAACCTATAGAAACAGTCTCGCTTAGGTCCCCATTCTAATTTTCATCATGATTTGATCCTCCAAGTATCAGTAGATTTTCATTTAAACATTAAGGGGAGTGTGAAACTCATATGATTTCTCTTCTTCTTCTTTTTTCTTTTTACATAAAAAGACCTTCAGAAATCAGAGAAACTCCCAACATAAAAAGAAGATATAATTTGATGGGTTTTCTTTTATCATGATGAAAGGAAAATCACGAGTCTCACTCAATAGTTTTATTAATTTCAACACATTGAGGGTTTAATTGAGAATTTATTTATACATTAAGAGCTTAATCGAGAAAAAGAATAGATCAGGGATACAATCTAGATTGCCCTTTATTGAATTTATTTTATTATTTTGATTTTTTTAGTTTTTCATTAATAAAAAAGTCATTATGCCCTCTCTCTCTCTCTCTCTGAGCTGCAAAATTAAAAATTAAAATATATATATATATTAGTTTTTTTATCTTAGCTTTCTCTTAGCTCTCCCATTATTGGAGATGCCCTAAACCGAGTCTTTTAGGCTTAGCACTCGCTCACTAATCACCCACAGAGCAGCATCATATTCTCTTGACCTTCATTAAAATGGAGGAATTGCTAAGAAATTAAAGCACCCTTCTCTTGTATCTCCTCTGCAAATTTCTCTTCTTTGTAGTAAGATTTCTCTCTGTCGATCTCTGTTTTTTTTCTTTGAAAAAGAAAAGGAAAAAAATGTTGCATGTTGGAGTATTTGTATTTGAAATTGATGATAAAGTAATCTTCTTTAACATATGTTTCTCTATGGATGGGTTTTAATTGTTTGTTGATGTTAATATTTTCAAGTCTAAGAAAAAGGAAAAGTTTTTTTTTTTTTTTTTTTTTTTTTTTTTTTTTTTTTTCTTGCCCATTTGTTCGCTTGTTTGTTTGCTTGCATGTCTTGATGCTAAAGTAAACTTTTTCCAATTTACATTTCTGGATGCTAGCAGCTTCTTGACACTTTCTTCGCTGAAATATGGGTTTTTCCCCCATAATTTTCAAGTTCTTGCTGGTTTTGGGGGTCACTGCATGATTGCTTGAACTCAATTTTTTTGGGAGTAATTAATGCTTTTCGTTATATGTGTGGAGGGTTTGGGATTATTTTCGTAGATATTTACTTTGTTGGATGATTTTATAGAGAGAAGGTTTTATTTGCGTTGCCTCTGTAGTTTATGCTATAATCTTCAAAAACAGTTTGTATCTTCAATTTGTTTTGTAAACGATTAATGCGCTGGGATTTAGTGAAATTCTTTTGTGATGGGACACAATCGGAGTTCATAAAAATTACTACTTGATGTCGGATTTTGATTGGATATTATTTTGAATACTTCGATCGGTTCTTTGTTTGAACTTGTTATTAAACTTGTTTATATTCTAGTTTAAGAAATCAGGTGCTTCTATTCTTTTAAATTTTCATGGACGGCACTCTCCCATGCGGTAGTTTCTTGATGGGACCTGGTATTTTTCATTCCTGTGAAATTGCCTTTGTCTCTTTCTCATTCACAGAATCCATGATTGCATGAAACTTTTTATGTTTTATGGCTACGTGATGGATCTAGTTGTATTTATGAGATTTGCAAATTTATCACCATTGCATGGATTCTAGAACAAATAATCCTTTCTTTCATCTTTCTTTCCAGAGATAGCTTTGGGAATTCTATCTATTCATTATCATAAGGGAGTGCGCTTTTCACGCGAACCATTATATGGCCTTGTATGTGTTCAATGATTATCTAGTTTGATGGGAGCCCAATTAAGGAGGATTTTTGTAACGCTTTGTGCAAATGGATGTCAATGTCAGTTAATGTGCAAGGTTTTTGTTACTTGGAAAATTATTTTCATTTTTTACAATTATTTGTGTCTCTTTCATCAATGTTGGTGGCTTCTTAATTCCTAGTTTCTGAATCTTTTTTACTGGGAAAATGCTATTTGTTTTCCTCTAAGTGATTACTTTTGTGTTAGGATGTAAATCACTTTCCTTGGAGGTGGTATCTACTTTTGTCTTCATATGTTACAATTCTTTTAGAATGCTTACATTGAAATAAGTATAGGTTCAAGAATACCTGGTTGATTTAATTACGCTCTAATTTTCATGTTAGAGACTTTTTGTATTAAATGCATGAGATTCTTTGCTAATACTCAATATCCAGCATGTTACATTGTTTTTAACATCCAGCACATTTCATTTTGTTATGTAGGTCCATCGGAGGAGTGTAGACGGGAGCTGAAACACCAGTTTTATATTTTATTTCTGGGATAAATGAATGAGGGTACTCTATAGCTCTGCATAGATAATCTGCACTAAAACACCATACACCCTTTTGGGGCATGACCCCATTTTTCCTTTTGAGAAAAAAAGTAGGCCTTCTGTTAGGCTTACAGTCAGTAATATAGCTAGCCTGTTTTGTTAGGTGATGGCCTGATGCTGTATGAGATAGTTTTTGAATCTACATTTTTTGGTCAATATGCCTGTTCTTAGTTGTTAGTAAGTGTTACTTAAAAGTTGTTGGTATTTGAGAGGTGCAAATCTGTGGCCATAACAGGAGTTTTCTGCTTCTCTATGTTATCAGGCAACTAGTTTTGCTTTGCTAAGGGGAATCCTGGACATGGGAAGTCTTCATTTTCCATATCATGTAGCTGGCCATTAAGTTGAGCTGGAAAAAAAATTAGAAACCTATATATATATATATATATATATATATATATATATATATATATAAAACCATCTGTCATGCTTGTCACAAAATTATATGTTCTGAACCACATCTGAATGCATTGTGAACTGCTAAATTTCAGCTTCCTTTTTAGACCATCTAGGCTCATATTGTCTTGCAAAATAGCTCTTTTGGATAGCTTGGAATCAATAATTCTTTAGCTTGGTGAATGAGTTTGGTTTTTGCAGTTAACTTTTTGAATCAGTGAATGAGAGATTCAAGATGCTTAATGCTTGTTATTATTCTTAAAGCCTTTGAAAAAATTATCTCCTGTAGCAAATTTATCTAGGCAATTTGCTTGAGGTGTTTAGTTGAACACAGGGTATTCAACTGTTGCCATGAACCAGAGAGAAGGTGATTATGTTCCAATTAGAGATGCAGAGAATGTCCAACTGGGAATGTTTGACAAACCCCTTCCTTGCTTTGGCTGTGGAATTGGATGGTTTTCGTGAGTATTGCTTACCTTCCTCTCCCTTTAGTGCCGTCACTCATAGACGTACCTTTTTACTGTTGCCTCATAATTGGATTTGTGTTCTCACTCTTCTCTCATCGATGCGCCTTTACTCTACAGCCTTTTGCTTGGATTTGTGTTCCCGCTGATGTGGTACTTCTCAGCAATTCTCTACTTTGGGAAGTACTATAACAAGGATCCAAGAGAGCGATCTGGCCTTGCTGCCTGTGCAATTGCTGTGAGTGATGAACTTAATTATTAATCTTTTGTTGGCATGGTTTGCTGCCCTCTTCTTTGTCATGTCTGCTGATTAAGCATCAAATATGATACTTGCCATTATTAAAAAATACATAGCTTGGAAAAATTCTGAAATCCAGCCTTCTATCATTGGAATAAAGTTGACAGAGCATCCTGGTGCCACTAAGGAGGTGCCTATGGAGGCGCACCATAGCTGGTGCTAGTGGCAGGTCACTTCCTTAACGCTGAAAAGGTTGAGTGGTCAACTTTCCTGAAATTGCAAAATACAAAATTACCCCTAACTAAAACAAAAATCACAGAACTGGCCTGACATTTAGACCCCAAAAATATGCCCTGTTAACTAGTAAAAAAAGTCTAGGTGATCTCGAATTAGGTTCAATCCAAATCCATGAGCTTGTAGCAGTAGATTTCCCCTTCTGTAAATGTCAGGTGCTATTTGCATCACAAAATGATATGTAGACTAAATGCAGTGGTCTCCCCTTAATGATGTGTGTATTCCATATGATTTTTGTTTGTGTGTCTTGTGTTTATTGGTTTAGTCTTGGCTGATGTAATAGATTAGTCTATCTAATAATTTCTCCTAAAAGAGGTACAAACTGAGCTTTCCAGGAATGAAATAGTTATATACAGCACAATGAAAAGCAACTGGGCAGTCTCAATGTAATTTCCTATCATTTGGAAGAGCAGTGTTTTTGATGGGTGGCAGTTCAAATCCTTTTTTCTGAGCACATATTTTTCAATAATGTGTATACCGTCCTCTCACCGCTGAACTAGACGGTTGCTGCAAAACATTTCATGATAGGTATCAATATAGCTGTGTCTGGAGACTGGAGAGTACTTTATCTTGGGAGAGACCAGAAGTTTCAATGTACTTGTGCCAATCCTTGTGCTAATGGGTGCCACCATAATGGTGTAGGGTTATCTATTGCACATTTTTGTGATGAATTGGTGTGTTTATCTATTTTTTCAGCAAGTAACATGCATGCACTTTATCTGCAGGCTATAGTGTTCACAATAGCTGCGGTGATCGCTTTACTTGTTTATTTGTTGTGATTCTCGCCTCGCCAGATTCATCTTTGCAGCTGCAGTGTATGTTTCAAAAAGATAAGATGAACCTGATTCCAAGTGCTCAAGTTGTAATGGGCCCCGGACCAAGCTTTCTGAAATCTCTGCACTCTTGTACATAATACGAAAATGCTGTACAATGATGGAGGGGAACCCAGCTCAACTGTGAGATCCCCATTTAGTGCAAATCTGTCTATGTATTCTACTTGTAGGTATTAGAAAAGGTGACATTCCTTGATGTGTTCCTTAGATTTTGCTGGAAGCCTGAAGCATGACGAGCGCGGAACCACATGCTTGGCCATTCAATTTAAGCGAAATGACTTGAAATATGAAAATTCCCCTTGTTTATTCCTTGCATTTCGTAGAAAGCTGCTCGTTACGTTACTCCGGATCTTAAAAAAATGCACCTTGTTGTTCATGGCAAGTTCATCTATCTCCTTGACGTGGTTTGAAGCCCTAAACTCTGCAGTGCATGAATTGGGTCCAAGCTGATGCATCATTCAGCCAGAACTGCAGTTCTTGTCCATGATTTGGTTAAATGTAGACGTGGAACATCAGCTTCTGAGCTCGTACAACTAGAGTCATGGCCCCGTCCTTCTAACTTTTGCATATTTGATGAATTTTCCATCATAAAATATCTAAAGTAAGAAACTGTTTTCTGCAAGTGAGTTATTTTATCGGTTAGATTCTGTATGACTTCTTCAGACCTTTTTAATTAATTCATAAAACTCAAATAAGTACCCTAATAATAACAATAATAATGTATTCAAGACCGCAATACAGCAAAAATAATTCAATAAACTTAATATCTAATCCAGATATATGTAGCCTTTTGATCTAATTTATGTTTGTGATTTAGATTTAAATAACTTGTGTCCTATTTTCCTATGCATGATGGTTTTCTTGTGTTTGAGTACTTCTTCTTCGTGCTTGATCAGCTGCTCCTTTTTCTTCATCAATCCCTTTTTTCTATTTCTTCTTATCCTTTTTAAATGTATCCATATTTAGTTTTAAAAAAAAACATATACCCAAATATCCATGTTTGGTAAGTTATTTATTTTCTAAATCCATGGTTATGATAATTACGAACAATTGTCATAATTATAAAATGATTAACTAAATTATAAAAATATAAATTGCTTTTTATGATTATAATATTTTTTAAGATAACAATATGCTTTTTAAGTGTTATTGTTTTCTTAGTAATTACCACGATCACATAATAATTACTTGAGTTGTTGAATGATAAAAAAATAATACCAATTATTATTTAATAATGAGTAATAACTTTCCATATTTCTAGAAAGTATCACCTTCTCATCCATTCTTGTCTTGACGTGCTGTCGGATGGTGCGTATGGTCCCTAGAATGAGAGGGGGTTTGAATTTGTTTGAAAAAAATCATAAAATACATGATTTAAAAATTTTAAAACTCGTGATTTAATAAAAACTTCTAATGATGTATGAGAGTTTAGTTAAAAGAATTAATTATATATGAAAAAAATTCATTATTCTTAATATATTTTACCTATGATAAATAATATTATCTATTTTTTTGATATAAACTAATATATTATTTTATTTTTTTAATTATTGATCTTTCTAAATTTTTTAAAAAAATTTCATGGTAAGAAGGTTTTTATCTTATTAGGTTAAATTATGGTCATTTTAGAGTCAAAAAATTAAAAAATTAATTAATTTTTTATTCAATATTAGAAATATATCTTAGATATATGTTTATAATCTTATAAAAAAATAATTTTATTTTTATTTTTTATTTTTGAAATGGATATAAAATTCTCATAATTTTAATAAACTAATGATTAAATTCAAAATGCACGAAAAAGGCAAAAAAAAAACTATCTTTGGTGATTTTTGGTAAATTATGCAAATATAATTTATTTTTTAGAAAGTTGGTCATATGCCCACACAAATAAAAACATATTTCAAATAGAGAAATTTTTATTTTTTTGTATTTTTTCTGAAATTTTACAGGAGAAAATATATTTAATATCATATTTATATCTTATAGTATAAGTCTATAACCCCAATATTAAGTAAAAATATTGCAAATAAAAAATATGAAAGACCCACAAATAATTTTAAAATGACATTTGAATTTTTTTAATATTTTAAAAAATTATTTAAGGTTTATATTACAAAACAAGAAAAATCTAGTAAGGAATACTGTGAAAAGTTTGTTAGAATGTATTTGTCAAATAAGCCCTAGCAACTAAAAAATACATTTTTTTCCTTTGTAAAATTTTAGTTCAAACAAACACAGCCTTGAGCCTTTGAAAGGCTCAGCCCAATAACAAGAAGTCGGGCTTCATAAAACCATTGCCGGCCTCCTCCGAAGAAAGAAAATATGGGTTGTCTCTCCTACAGCAAACAAAAGCCTTTTCCATGGAAAAGAAAAATAACCCAAGATTTTGAAACAAAGCCTGACCCCTAACAAAAACAGACGCTCTCTGTTTGGTCTTGAAAGATCAAAACAGCTGAGTTAATGAATCCATGCATAGCTCGTGCCCAGAAACCATGAACACGTAGCGAACAAGTCACAGCAAATTTATATTTTTTAAGGAACATAAGAGTTATACCTATATTAGTAGGGATGGTGTGTCTTGCTTTGAACAAACACCTACCCAGTCTCCTTTTCCTTTTCTTCTCTTTCTGTTTCTCCTGTGTTTCCCTAACTTCTGATGCTGTGATTGAGAAGAGAAGCCTCTGCTGTTTTTATTTTATTAAATCTTCTGTTTCTAGCTGTTCACAATGCTGCTGTTGCAAAGCTGAGGAAAGATTTTCCGCTGATGAAAAAGATTCTCCATTGCTGCTCCCGGCGCAGAGGGGATGAGAGGCGCTGAAGGCTGACAAGGAAAACCTCCTCCTGCTGCTTGTTCACGGTACTGAGAAGATGACGCTGCTGGAAGGAGGAGCTTCCACCACTGGTGTCAGGAGAAGTTGAGTGACGCTGCTGCTGTTGCACGATCTGCTACTGTTACTTGAAGGGAGTTGCTGGACGACAACAAGTCATGGTGGGCAGTGGTTGCTGATGAAAAATGTCTTCCACTGTTGCTCCGGAGCTGCTCACGTTGCTGGTGCAGAGAGGTTCGCTGCTGCTGCAGGTTCTTCCAATTGCTAACGGGATGTGTTGATGAACAGAGAAGATGAGCTGCTGCAGCGTGTGTAGCTGGTGCAGAGCTTGAACCTGAACTGAGATCACTGTGCTATCGAGGTTGTAGAGAAGTAGTTGATGTTGATGTAGCTAGGAATTTAAGGCTAAAGTACTACTGCTATGGAGGGACTGGCCGTTTCTAGCAGAGAGAGGTTACTGCTGACTCACGGTGCTGAAGGAGGAGTAGGCTCCTGCTGCTCAAGAGTAAACTACCGCTACCGCTGTTGCTCACGGGTACGGAAGAGTGACAGCTGTGAGGGAGAGAAGGCTTGTTGTTTGTCCTGGAAAACAAGGGTCGGGTCACGTTTTTTCATGTTTTTGTAGAGAAGGGGAAGAAACTTACTACTTGCATTGATTAACTTTAATTCCTTGTCGGAAAAGGAAAAGAGTGCGTGTGCGTGTGGATGACAAAGCTGGGATCGATCTGGGAAGGTGATGAACAAGTGGATTCGTACTCATAATAATAATAATAATAAAAATACGGTCAACTTCTTAATTTAGATTATAATACAAGGTCGCTATATATAATATTGCCCATTAATTAGTTGTGTGGTTATATTTGATCCATAACAAGGAAAGAAAAGAAAAGAACTTGGAATGCTTGAATTCTTTAACTTGGAACCTTCTCATGAGACGCGTCCAAAGAAGGGCCATTTACAAGGCAACGGCTAATTCATTAATGCGGCTACGGCATCCATTTTCAACTTAATTCTTTGGTTAATTGTTTGGATTTAATGCGGCTACGGCATCCTTTTTCAACTTAATCATTTGGTTAAACCTCCACTCCTCACTAACCAAATTAGGATGCGGTGGCCGAAGAAAAAATCAATCAAAAACACCAAATCCATAGAAATATCTTAAAACGTCAATTTATAACATCACTTCATATCATTTCTGTTCACAAATTGCTAAAAATTATGAAATTTTAGGACTTAATACTTGCTACTACTTTGTGTATGAAATTTGATTTGGTGTTTGTTTTTTATTTTAAAGTGATTTGATTATTTATATTGAATTGCAATTTTATTTATTTATTTTTAAGTTATGATTACTTTCTGGATATTAGATGTTGATTCGTGAATTATGTATGGATTCATGTTAATCTATTTGAGTTAGCATAAAATCTGAATAAAACTAATAAGATTAATTTGAATTTTAGTGTTGATTAGTTTTGAATGTATATTTAAAAAAAATATACATCTAGTGCAATTAAAATCCCAGCTTTAACAATTATTAAACCATGTAGAACATGACATACTCTGTTTGTTTTCTTAAGATCAGACTTCATAGACCTATCCTCTCCATTCTCCAAAGATTCTAGCATGTTTTTTTTTTTTAAAGTTCCTCAAATAAGAAACTTAATAATGCAGTTGAATGGATCTGCTAAACTCAATTTTCATTTGAGATTGGTTTTGTTTAAAAGCCTGATTAAAAAAATTAAATCCAAGAAGAAATTGTTAAAGTAGGCAAATTTAAAAAACCAAGAAAGCTCATTAATGTTAGTACTATGTTCCTCAATTTTTATACCAAAATAAAATAAACTAAATAAATAGAGTTTAAACCGGTTTGAGTTCAATCCAAATCATATTTTATAAAAATAATATATTTTAGTTTGGTCAAGTTTTAAAGTAAAAAATAAAAATAAAATCAAATTATAAGCACCCCAAGTCCAAACAACAATTTTTCATACTCAATTATAAGTTATTCTTAAATTCTTTTTATTTCAACTACAATTTTCATTCCAGCGGAGCTAGAAACTCTTGATCCAAACAATTGAGATAAGCTGCGTCAAGTCTCCCCCCAACCCAAATGCCAGGACACGCGGTTTACATGAGCTGGAATGCTTGCAGCCAAAGAAAGGAACAGAGAGAGACAGAGATCAAAACGCGGTTTTCACGCATTGTGGTGATTCTAATTATATAATAATAATAATAAAGTCATTCAAAGCTACTCTCCAGACTTGACGCGTGTGACCTTCGCCCATATTATTATTACTTCGGTGGTAATTCATTTTTCAAATTAATTAATTAATTAAAACGTGCCACTCCTTGGGAATTATTGATAATCATATTTTATGCTATTATATTTCTTTTGTGTAAATATTAAAGAATATCAATTACCAGATCGGGATTGATATCTTGCTTCGGTCAGGTTTGCGTGTACTCGTCACAGTGCCTGTCGGAACAATGGCTTCATGTTCGATTTTGCGAGAAGGAAGATCAATTTTGTTGTTTGTGAAAAATT